TAAGCTGTGACTGCCAGCTGAAAGTGGGAATGTAACTATTAGCCTTTTCAAGGTAAGGACTGTGTTTCACTTCCAGCCAGCAGTCCAGTGTCGGGTCCAGGACTCTCTGGCTGGGCCAGTGTCGGGACACAAATTTCGACGGCTCAGAATCATTCATTGGAGCAGAACTGTTTGACCATGGACTTCGGGTTCAGTGTCGATGATCAACTGTACGTGTGCAGCTCATCCTGCATTTCCAGCAGTGCTTCAATCATGTACTCACGATCCCGGAATGGAGCATAGTAGGCTCGGTGGTTGATCCACCTGACAATGGCTTGTTCCATGGTCATCGAGGCAAAGGCCATGACTAGGACACAATAAGCAGCACAGGTCCTGTTAATGCCACCGTAGCAATGGACAAGCACACGAATTGGCCTCTTCTTGCCTCCACGCTTCCGACCACCTCCCTGAAGCTTCATCGCCTCCAACAAAGCAAGAGCATTACCGAGCTCACCAGGGAATGTCTCATCGGCCACCTTCAAGGCACTCTGCCTTCCATCGGCACTCTGCCTTCCTTCAGCGGCTCTTCCGAACAGGCTGCCCATGTCACTTCCCTTGCTGAAGCCCTTGTCATAGGAGCAGCCATAGCCAAATGAGCCCTTCGTCGATGCCTTCTGGCTTTGCATGTGATTGGAAACCTGACAGGGGCCGCTGTAGCCCTTGCTGATTGTCTTGCCCTTGCCCCTGCCGCCATTGGCCTTGCCCATCATTTTGCCCTTGATGGCACTCTGCCTTTGACTCTGGCTGAACTCCTCTGCTGAGCGCTGCCAGCACATCATAATCTTTCTGAAATCTGAAATGAGGCGGCGCCAAATGGTCTTGAACTCATGACTTCTTTGTTCAGCATCAAAGTCATTGGCATGTGTTTGATCCCAGCCACCATACCGAAGATGTGCAGTGCCAAACGGTCCACAATTCGCCAAATACTGATACCAGTCCCATGGCTCAAAATTCCGAGGTCTGTCATCTGCATTCATAGAGATGACAATGTCAGGCTTGACCCGGAGCTGGTCATATCGGATCGGGCAACCAATACTGCCAACAAACAGTTGCCACTGGGGATGGTCGTAAATCAAAACATCATCCATGGGCCACGTCTCGACATCATGCTGGCATGGCCGAGGTGGCGGGATCGACCCAGGCAGCACATCTGTCTGGCCGGTCCATGCTTTGTACAACTTCATATCCATATCTCCGAAATCTGAGATGGCCTCAACTGCCAATTTGATTCGTTGATCCAATTGTGCAGCCCTTTGGATCTTTCGGAGCCCGGTGGTATAGTCGGCAGCTGATCTGCCACAGTGTAAACAATTCCACCGAAGTTGTTGCACGGCTTCGTTCCAGTAATCACTGCCAAGGTCAATGTGATTGGCCTGATTCTGATGGTCAGCAGCAGAAGTCTGGCACTCTGCCTCGGAACTCCCTGAGCACCTTGAAACGGTCGTCGGCATCACTGCTTTCATCGAGCACCCAATTGTCCAACGATTAAAACATTAACAGTGACTAATGCATCACTATACAGTACATTAACCAATGATATGTAACATTGTGTTACTACTGTTACATCAGTATGAATGAATCACTTGATTCCCTGGCCGGCAGATGTCGATCATGTATGGTGCAAGGCAACTCACTGACAGACTATGCAGGCAGGCAGGCAGGCAGCCAGCCTCGGAGACAGCAGGGTCCTGAGGACGTCACTGCCACCCGGCACTGTGTAGTCAGCATGTCATGCTGGGTAACCTTTTGGAATCCAAGTTGCGCACACTACCGCTGAGGTCTCCAATCGGACAGTCTAGCTCTGCTGGCTAGATCGTCGAATTCAAAATCCTCTAAGCACACGCAAACCCGGCACTCTGCCTTCCCCAACATCCGTAATGCGGTCTCGGAGGCTGTACAAACACGATGAATCACTGATTCATCATTGACGACAGAGCTTCGTCTCGCACGTCATTGTAATATAAAATTCCTGGCACTCTGCCTTCACTGTAATCCTGCATAAATCTCGGAAAGAGTACGTGCAGGATCATATCATTGATATGCCAGTCTACTTGCAAGACATGCCCACGCTCTTCAGAATTCAGAAAGAACCACAATGTCGAAAAGGACTCCTCTAGCAGCGCGTCGAAATAAATCACATAATCATCGTAGTCACTGTCCATGATCGAGGCCACAGTGCTTGCACGCTCATCGGCAACCAGAATCCAGTCCGAGTCCAGAGACTCACTGTCACTGCACGACATCGACGACATCTGCCGGCTTGCAGGGGGGCCTACTACGACTTAGACTAGAGACAGAGCAGGTCGTCGGCATCACTGCTTTCATCGAGCACACAATTGTCCAACGATTAAAACATTAACAGTGACTAATGCATCACTATATAGTACATTAATCAATGATATGTAACATTTTGTTACTACTGTTACATCAGTATGCATGAATCGCTTGATTCTCTGGCCGGCAGATGTCGATCATGTATGGTGCAAGTCAACTCACTGACAGACTATGCAGGCAGGCAGCCAGCCTCGGAGACAGCAGGGTCCTGAGGACATCACTGCCACCCGGCACTGTGTAGTCAGCATGTCATGCTGGGTAACCGTTTTGAATCCAAGTTGCGCACACTACCGCTGAGGTCTCAAATCGGACAGTCTAGCTCTGCTGGCTAGATCGTCGAATTCAAAATCCCCTAAACACACGCAAACCCGGCACTCTGCCTTCCCCAAGATCCGTGATACTGTCGCGGAGGCTGTACAAACACGACAAATCATTGATTCAGTGACGACAGCCATTCGTCTGTCACATTGAAATATAAAATTCCTGGCACTCTGCCTTGCCTAAAATCCCGCAAAAGTCTCGGAAACAGTACGAACATGATCTGTTCATTGATATGGAAGGCTGCTCGAAAGACTTGCCCACGCTCTTTAGAATCCAGAAACATCCACAATGTCGAAAAGGACTCCTCTAGCATCTCGTCGAACGGAATCACATAATCATCGTCGTCAGCACTGTCCGCGACCGAGCCCGCAGTACTTGCACCCTCATCGTCAACCAGAACCCAGTCCGAGCCCACAGACTCACTGTCACTCCACGACATCGACGACATCTGCCGGCTTGCAGGGGGGCCTACTACGACTTAGACTAGAGACAGAGCAGCTGTAACACGACTATAGTAGATTACGCAGGGCAACAGCGAGCACAACTGCTGCAGCGGCAAGTTGCGATACATGACACGCTCACTGACTATGCAAGGCAGCTTGTCCTCTGCGATGGCAGCATGTCCTCAGGATCCTCGTCATGAGCCTCGGTGCCAGGACTGTACCATAATAATGGAAGTAGCTGAAGCAAGCTGATGCTGAGATCCCAGCAGTTGGCATCCACTTCTCGATGGGCTGGAAGCCGATGAAGACCGATGGGAGAGAAGGAAATGGAAGAGAAGGCGTTCACTAGGCTTGGATTCAAACCGAACACTTAGACCTGGCCAACGGTGTGGGGAGCAACCCCGATGGGGCAGGGACTTAAGTAAGGCAACCTCGAGAGGCTCGACTGGCACTCTGCCTCTGTCGATCCAAGTCGCAAGGCTCCCTAACTAACGTGACAAGCATGGATGGCCTCCCCTCCTGGTTGGGAGAAAAATAAAAAAGCCACAACCACTGGACCACCCCACCCGGCACTTTAGCCCATGTGCCCGGGTGTCATATGCCACTGCCCTGGCACGTTGGCCCCAAGGCGGTCCAGGTACCATCGACAACACCTGACACCCGGCCAACGGTGTCCACGAACCGAGATGGGCAGTCGATCCGTGTGGGTAAGGTGGCACTCTGCCTCTGTCGATCCAAGTCGCAAGGCTCCCTAACTAACGTGACAAGCATGGATGGCCTCCCCTCCTGGTTGGGAGAACAAATCAAGCCGCAACCACTGGACCACCCCACCCGGCACTTTAGCCCATGTGCCCGGGTGTCATATGCCACTGCCCTGGCACGTTGGCCCCAAGGCGGTCCAGGTACCATCGACTCAGCACCTGACACCCGGCCAACGGTGTCCACGAACCGAGATGGGCAGTCGATCCGTGTGGGTAAGGGCAAGGTCTCAAGGCAAGTCAACATGTCACTACGGCCTCCCTTCTTTGTTCAATCACAACCAAAACTATTTAAAAGGATTAAATATTAACTTCAACAACAAATAAAACAACAAATTTGTGTGACATACAGCAGCAGGAAACCAGGTAGAACAACAGGAAGCCATTTGACTCAATCCGAAACAACAACTCATAATTCACAAACATGTTTTTTTTACACCAAAAATAAAAATAGAAGAATTTTAAAAACTGTAAAACACAAACAAATTATTAAAAAAACTTTTAAATACAAAACAACACTTTTAAATACAAAAAAAAACTTTTAAACACAAATAAAGCCAACCACATACAAAAATAAGATTTTGGGTTCCTTTCATATAAGCCTTGTTGATCTAAACCCTGTGGTTCTGGTTCGGCGCAAAGGGTTAAGGATTAGTATTGTAGCTTCCAGGAGCTACTAGTGATCCTCGGCGTGATAGTTTTGAGGCTTCCGGGTAGGGCCAAGGGCTCAGGATTTAGGGTTCAGGATTCTTGGGGGCTTTAGGGTGTTTAGAGTACCCTGAACCAGAGGCTCGCTCATGTCCGGATTCCTACTATAATCCCTATACTTGACACGGTGGTTAAACCTGATTACTCGACAGGGGGGTGAAGACATTGTCTTCAAAAGTAAAATGAGCTCAATCCCAGCATAAATGAACCTGTGCCACTCTTTGGAGAACCGGCTAAACTGAACCTGAAAGGATTTCGGGTTAAAGGTGTAGGGTTTAGGATTTAGGATTTAGGGGTTTAGGGTTTAGGATTTCGGGGTTTAGGGTTGAGGATTTAGGGGTTTAGGGTTCAGGATTTCGGGTTGAGGGATAAGGCTTAAGGTCTGCAGTCGAGGTGCCCAGTGCCCAGAAGCTTCGCAGGCATCCATGGCGGATGCAACCTGAAGCTTCCGGAGCGAACCCGGACCCTTCCAACGCAGCTGATATTGCGGTGATCATAAAGGGAACTCCAGAAAGTTGGAATATGGTTTCAGGGTAGGATACCTTATAATTTACCATAGAAGGGTAAGGATAATCATATTCCAACTTTCTGGCTTTTACCTTAAGGGTTTAGGGTTCAGAAGTTTGGAGGTTTTCGGGGTTCAGGGCTTAGGGTTTGGGGGTCAGGTTCATGAGAAGCTGTCAGATTTGTTCTTGGCCACTTAATCTAGAAACAGACTAACTGTTGCTATGGTATCCTTACTTATTATTGCCGTACGCCCTAGGTTTCCAGATCCTTGCAGTACAGTTGATGCGCCTTGCCCTGGTTGGATTTAGGGCTTCTAGGGATCGGTGGCTTTAGTATTGAGGGCATACGGTTGGGGTCTAAACCCTGAACTTCCCCCGCCCCAGAGTAGATTGAGGCATTACACCCCTGACCAAAACCCTCAGCCACGTATCAACAGAAGTCGAGGCACGCTCACACTGTCGGCTTCCAGCTCGCGCTTCGTAAACTCCTGTGAGCTTGCTTTAGGGAGGGTGAGAGCCACGGCTTGTGAGAGCAAGGTTAGGCCGGAACTGCTGTTGGGTTCAGTGCTTCCTGGCATGTTGTTACGACACGCTTCTGACTTGAGGTTGTGAATGGGTACCTTTTTTGGGAGGTGCCTCTGGAAAACCCATACATTTCCAACCTGAACCCCTCTCCAAACCGTGCCGCATGCATGATAGCGAGGCTCTGAACTCCATACCCTACACAACCCCAAAGCCTTCGCCCTTGTGCTTCGCCACAGCATCTCCTAAAGATGATGACAGGGAAGTCCGTGTGGATAACCATGCCAGTAATCATAGTATCCAAATATATGTAGATACACAGGTATGCATCTGTGCATGTATGCATGGATCGAATGTACGGATGTACGGATGGACGGATGGAGGGATGGAGGGATGGAGGGATGGAGGGATGGATGGATGGATGGATGGAGGTAGGGAAGTAGGTATGTAAGTATATAAGTATGCATGCATACATGCATGCATGCAGGTATGTACGCATGTAAGTATAAAAGTACATAAACAGGGATGTACGTAAGTAAGTAAGTAAGTGAGTGAGTACATAATTGAATAAGTGAGTAAGTAAGTAAGCAAGTATGCATGCATGCATGCATGACTGTATACACGTGTGAGTCTTTATACACACACGCACCTATATACATATGTATATAGATAGAAATTAAACATATTTATGTACATATACATATGCACTGATGTTTGGGGTCGGAGGCTCCCTCGACAGGCAAAAGGAACGATGAACCTCTCAGGGCCCCGCATCAGAAATGGGGCCTTAGGGCGTACAAATCCAAAAGCATCACTTCCAAACGAGCTTTCAATCTGGGACTCGAGGGTTTATGGGGCCTGGGGTTTAGGTAGAAAAGATATCAAACACCTGTGCGTGCCCACACGATGTGCAAGTTACAGGGATTCGGATCTGAGAAGCCCTCGCCACGAATCTTTAATCTCCTTTTTGAGTTCTGCTTTACGAGACGACTGCACCCAGTGGTGTGACACCTAAATAGAAACACACAGCTTATAGCTCCCAAACCCTACACCTGAAACCCTCAACCCTAATGACCCCGTGTGGCCTCGAGGAGAGCCAAGGCCGTGCGCCAAGAAGCCCGGCAAGCGGCGATGGCAGCGTTCAGTGTGATCAGGTTCGGCCTGCTGGGAAAGAGGGTTTTTGGGGTGTAGGAGTCTGGAGCTTTTGGGGTTTGGTGGTTTAAACTCTCGGCTTTTAGGATGTAGAGCTTATATAGGGTTTGGTGTGTTAGACTCCAGGCTTTTAGAGTGCAGGGATTAGGGTTCGGGGTTTGGTGTTTTCTCCAGACTGAAAGGCTTTGGTTGCAATATTTAGGGCCAACAGAGGGTCTAGGGCTTTAGATTCTTCGCATTTCACCCTGCATCAACCGGGTTGCTGAAGTTTAGGGTTTAGTCAAGGGCCTCCCTAGCCATGCTGTCTCGAGCAGCGTGCTACTAGAAGTAGTGCGTGCTGCCTCGAATGCATGCGTGCTTCTTGAAGGCACGTGCGTGCTTACTCAAACCCCTGCGTGCCACCTCAACTTTTCCGCAACGCGTGGTGCGCGCACGTGCCCAACGAAAAACTTTGAGCTGGAATGCATTTATTTTAGAAACCAAACGGAACTGCTCAAACCCCAAAACCCTAGAGCACGTCAAGAAAAAACGCGTGCTGCCTCGTTTAAGATGACTGCGTGCTGCCTCAACATTTTGCATTTCGCACATGCACAGCACGGGCACGCGATGCAGCACTTAGACCGCGAGATGGAATGCACGCTCTGACTAGAATGCGGACGGCAAGGTGGTTGCAAACAGACTGCTACAAAGAGCACTCGAAGCAGCATGCACAACTCTTAGCAGCATGCATGGCGAGAGAGAACGGCTAGGGAGGGCCTTGATTTAGGGTCCAAGCAAACTCTGAGAGTAAACTGCACGGGGACTGGGTCGCAAGCCTGCAAAGCCGGGCGTCCATGGTGTCAAGAACGTGCAAAGCCTGGAGCCACTCGGAAGCCTGAGGTTTGGGGATGTGGGTGTAGGAAACTGCTTGTGGGTTTAGGCTTTGGGTTGGCTTTGCACCTTTATTTAGGGTCGGTTTTGGTTTCGGGTTCTGGCTGCCGGAGCTACGGATGTTGTTGAGTTCAGGGTTTGCGGCATAGGATTTCGGGTTGTTTTTGAGTTAGAACTTAGGGGTTTGTTGGCGCTTTGGGCATCCAGACGAATACGTAGTGGTTTAGGATTTAGGGCGGTCTCGAAAATTATGATGCTCTGAGTGGCTTTCGGTACCGGCAGTCTTTCTCCGACCGACAGGGTTCAGGCGCATTGAAACTGCTGTACCGGTTCTATCAGGGCTCTAGCAGGCTTTTAGGGTTTAGGGTGACCTCTGCTTTGATAGGAAAGCTTGCTCCGAAGGACATTATCGGATGAAAGCCACCACGAAAGACCTCTGTAATACAGCGATAGACTTAGTACCTGATCACATTCTTCAGACGCGTTGCTTCTTAGTTGAAGTTTAAGCTCGATACTTGAGGGATTCGGAGTCCTGGACAGATTGATAGGTTTCTCATGAGGCGCGAAAGGCATGTTGGGGCCGCTTATCGGCTCTGGGGCTTCATTTTCAGGTCAGGAACGTGTTAAAGGTCTGGGCCTGAGTTGGTCTCGGGCTTCAGGAGATTGGGGCTTAGATCATCTAGGGGCCTGAATACTGAGACTAGGGTCTTGGGGCGTATGTTGTTAGTATACAAATAGCAGGGAGCCCTGAGGATTCATCTTGGCAATTATTTAGGCCACGATAGTACGGAGATCTTTTGTCTCAGAGTTTGCGGCTTTCTTTTATGGGCTTGGAAATCCTTCAAATGCTAACCCTGAACCCCCAAAAGATCCTGCTTGCTGGGAGCCTTCTCGCAAGCGCTGATGGTAGCACTGAAGGTGATCACCTGGACTCCCACAAGTGCTCATTAAAGTGCTGGCGGAGATTTGGGCTTTCGGCAAAGGGTTCTGGGCCCAGAGAACAACGGAACATAGAACATGAAAACCGTTAAATACAACCATGTCGCTTCTATCAAGACTGCTTTGTTCATGCAATGGTCCTTGGGATTGGGTAGTCTAAGGTGCACAGGAGGTGCGAGTCGTGTAGGGCACAGGGATGCAGGGTTAAATTGCGGTTGTAGACGGCCTGTTCACAAAAATGACCACCTTCTCTGTGGCCTAGGCAAATGGTCATTGCTGTTCACTTTGATGCAGAGTCCAGGCGCATGTGCGTCTTGAGGGGCCATAGCTATAGGATGTGTGATTGGCTCCTGGACAAAAAAGCCATGAACGAAAAGGCTTAGGGTAGAACCGTGCAAATAACATCTATGCGTGTCATGGAACTTGCACAGATGCGCAGGGGTCGTACAAACAACCGCCATTCATTTGCTTGGCTAAAACTTGCAAAGGCTCTACGAATAGTCTCCATTGTGGTACCTTCTTTTGGTTTAACCATTTCGATATTTAGCATCCTGCAAGGTAGTCCCCACAAAAGGAACTGCAATGGAGACCACAGGTACACTACGGGTTTTCATCCCAGGTATCGTGAGCCTTCTGGCTTCATTGGTTTGGGGGTCTGATAGGGTGCTGTGCCAAAAGGGCCCAAGTATCCCACTGCGTAAGTACATGGGCTTAGGACAGCTGTAGACTATAGTTATAAGGTACCCGAACACTGTATGCGAGCACGCATAGGTTCAACGAGCTGAACACGTAAAGGTTAAGTATATCTTGTGCCGATTACTCTGCGAGACGCAATGAACTGCGTGCACGGTCTATGTATTAGTGTGTATGTGTACGCGCGTGTAACCTTACCCCCTTCTTTCAGAACCCTTAAGCCCTGAAACCCTGACATCTTGAGCCTTACAGACTAAATCTCAAAACCCAAACCCTGCCCATACCCAGATACCCTAGCATCCAAGCATCCTATGATAACGGCTTGAACCCAGAGCAAGACCCTTAGGGTGAGCCCCAAAACCTAAACCCTGAAACCCAACCTTAAAGCCTTGGTACATGAAAGCTTCCTTTAAGCATTGCTGGGGTTAAGGGCTTCTGGGCCTCTAAACCCCTAAACCCCAAACCTGACCATAAACCCCAAATCCCGAACCCCCAAACCCTAAACCTGAAACCATAAACCCCAAGTCCCGAACCCCCAAACCCCAAACCTGAAGCCATAAACCCTGCCCTCTGAGCCGGGCCGCCGACGGCTGCAGGCAGTGCATCGACTCCACGGAATCCAAGAGAACCAAGGCTTGCTGCCACTGCGCGGCCTCTTGGGGCTGGAGGCGTGGAGGGTTTAGGGGGGTTTGTAGGGGCCTTGGTAAGAGTACGATAATTTGGGGCACTTTAGGGCATTGGGCTTTAGGGTGGGGAGAGCCTTTGCATTTAGATTCTTTGGTGGCTTGTGGCTGCGCGGAGCGTGTTTGAGTTTGGTTGCGCGGTTTCATGGTGGTCGTTGAGAAGTGTTGCGAGAGATCCGCTTCGGGACTGATACACTTCTGTCGCAGTTGCACGAGGAGCTGTTGGGTCTCCAAAAATCCCTTTTAGGGAACCCTTTCAGCAACATTCAGCAACCCTTATACTAATGAACCCATGAAACAAACCGTAGCATGTTGTGAGTAGACGAAGCAGGGCTTCAGGTCTATGGTGATTCTGATTGGGAGCCTCCGCTCTCCAGTATGTCGAAAGACTCCCACGAGGTGTAAAACAGGTCTCCTTCAAAACCACGTGTTGAGCGAATGCTTTGGGGTTTAGGACTCCACAAGGCCCAGGGACTGTTTAGGCTCCTTCACCGTTCACCCTAGATGCAAACACGACAAATGTGACGCGGGTTCGGGTTTCATTAAGGGTTCTTCAAGGGGTTCTGCAAAGCTTGCTAGACGGGTTCGATGACGAGGGCTCTATGAGGCAAGGGCATGAAGAATCCGAGAGAGTAGTTTACGATAACATATTTACATTGGGGATTATCGGCGTGCTGTTGCTAATGCCTCAGATCTCCATATTCGGGTCGAGCAGTCCGACCCGTCAGCTCAAAGCGAGAGGACGGCCAATGATTCGTATTCTTCAGGTGGGAGCCGGCCCTAACCCACAATGAACATAGAACCTAAAGACTGCCCAACCTAAACCTTAAACTCCAAACACTGGGATGCGAAGCCCCAAAACCTGCCCGGAAAAGTCCTGGAAGCCCTAAAAACCCTGCCTTTTCACAGGCGCTGATGGCAGAGTTGTAGGTCACAACCTTCCATGAATTCAAGGTTGTTGGTTTAGGGCTTGGAGATATGGGTGTACGGTTTGGTGCTTTCGGTTAAGTCGGTTAAGAGATTCAGACGTTTCCTTTTGAGGGAGAGGCACATGGATTTTTGGTTCAAGGATTACTGTTCAACTTTCTTCTGCATGTTAGGGTATGGCTTGGAGCGAAAGATAAATCAGAACACAAATAAACCTGCTGCCAGTGAGGTAAGCTAACACAGTTCAGAACCCTAAACCGAAGACCTCAGTCCACGGCGGCTTTGGCCGTCGGGTTTAGGGTATACAGCCTTATACCTATAAGCGAGGGGCCTTAATGATCAGAGCAGGGTTTTGAAGCCCAGCACACTGTAGTTATACTAAGGAACCCCAAAATTGCATAGGAAATTATGAACGTCACTAAAGTAATCCCTAAACCTTAAACCCTGAACCCTAACGCCCTTTTGTTATCCAGGTAACATTGGGCTGCAGCTGGCTAGTGTCCATCTCGTCGAGCAGGCAGATGGCTTGTAGCCACTCCGCAGCCTCCAGATACGTTCGACTCCATGGCTCAGGCTCTGGTTTCTTGTTGAGGGATTTAATTTCAGCTACCATGATTTATCGTTCCTTTAAGGGTTCTATAGGGGTTTAGGGGTTAAGGGATTTATATTTCAAGGTACCATAATAGGGATCTATAGTGAAAGGTATGGTTTCCTCAGAATGGTAGCTTGACATACATCCCTTATTAAGCACGTCGGTGCCCTTAACAAGAACACCTGCATGGGTTCTGTGTTCAAGATTTTGGGGTGCCAAGGCTCCACAGGATTCACGGCCTAGGCATGGTGTTCGAAGCCGTTGAGGCTTCCATGGCTACGGTTTAGGGTTTGGGGTTGGACCTGGGGTATATATAGGGTTTGGGGTATAGGGTTTTGGGTTTTGGGGACCCCAAATCGCAGGTGTTTGCAGCACTACATAACTCTAACCGTGTGAAAATGATCAAACCGCTTCTCAAGCATCTTATGAGCCCCAGAACCTAGCCCAACCCCAAACCCAACGGCCTAAAGCCGAAGTCAAATCCCTGAAACCTGCTAGCAACCCTGAAATCCTAAAGCAGTCGCAGACCCTAGTCCATGAGACCTCACGTTTCACGCAGTAGAGGGTACTTCAAGAAGGTGCATAGTGCAAGGAATGAAGCCCGGCGATGTCTAAATCTGAAACCTTGGGGCTGCAACAGCTCAAACCGAAATCCTAAAGCCTAAGACTGTGGAACCCTAAGCCCCCAAAACCCCAGTCCTAAACTCTGAATACCAACCCCTGAACCCAAAACCCTAGACTAAACCTAAAACCCTTTAAACCCAAAACCCCCGATCCCTCGACACCTTCTCACAGGCACCCATCGCGGCTGTGAAAGTGACAACGTCGGCCTCGAGCCGAAGTCTCTGAACCTCCTGGGCTGCTTAGTAATGAACTTGTAAAGGAAGGGTTTTCACGTGGACTGTCTGTTACAAAATACTATAGTATATAATGGTTATGTATTATACTACCACGTTATCATGCACTATAAACCTGCTGTGCAGATACATTACACCACTACATCTCTGACAGGGAAGCGAAAGGGAATTCATCACCCTGAAGCCTAAACCCTAAACCCAAACCCCTAAACCCTAAATGCTAAACCCTAAAACCTACACCCATATAAACCCCAAACCGCTACACCCCGAACCCCTAAACCCTAGATCCCCCTTAACCCTAAACCCCCAAATCCCCCAAACCCATAGCCCCAAACCCCTGAAACCCTAAACCCCAAACCCCTAAACCCCTAAACCCCAAACCCCCCAAACCCTAAACCCCCTAAACCCCAAACCCCTAAATCCTAGACCCTTAAGGGTTCCTTTAACTGTTCTGTTTGGGCGTAGGGGTTGAAAAGAAGGTGCTGGGATAAACAAAACAGGTGTATATGTATATATATATATACACACACATACGTGTTATTTATATATATATATATATGTATATAATATATTCGTTTTATGAGACGTATCGGGAACCAAACCGGTTGATATGCCCAAAATAGTATACAGGGTCAATCACTCAGACGAAAGCTTTGGCTAACCTTACTTCTCTGTTTGGGTACCCCGAGCCTCAGGGATAGGCATCATGTAAAGCTTCCAGGACTTGGGGTACAGGTCTTAGGGTTCGTAGGTTTAAGCTTAGAGGTTCCTGGTGGCGACGTGCCTTGCAGTCCAACGCGTCACAGGTACCTCATAAGCACAGGCCAAAGACTGCCAAAGACCACCCCCAAGAATACCGAACTCGAGAACTACTGTCGGAAAACCAAAAACGTACCTTGCGAGTAAGGGCCACGGTACCAGACTTTCAGCAGACACGTATCTCGGTCGCAGATGATTTCGGTGTTATGTTGAAGGTAAGGCCGATCCGGAATATCGGATACAGCTGGCACGCTGAATCCAACCCGTGTTGAGGCTTAGTTCGTAATGAGAAATACTGCACAGTTAGCCACAGCATCCCACCATAGCACACAATCCCATCCAACTGATGAACACCCCGAAACCTATAAAGCAGCCTATGGCATCACAATAGCCCCGCAGCTGCAACTCCAAAGCTGTCCTTCAAGAGATGGAAGCTCCGTCTCCACTGGCCACACGTACCTGGGCTGATCTTTAAGATGCGGAAGGTGCTTGACAATGGGGCATCTCTTTTCGGCGCATCTAGGTAAGATGCTTATACTTGGGGTCGCATAACCCTAAACCCTAAAAGCCCCAAACACCCTAGAAGCCCTAAACACCCTGAAAAACCCTAAACACCGTAAACACCCTCAAAGCCTTTCGGCTTCCAAAGCCACAGCCAAGGAAGGCCCCACCCCGAGAAGCACCAAGGCGTAAAAAAGCCAGAGTAGCTTCAACCGCAGAAGCATCGAAACTCTGACCGGGAAGCTCACGAGACCCCCCCCCGAAGGGCCCTGTAACAGAGTCCTTCCTATGGCCCTAAGTAAGGGTTGCCGACTGCATCCTCCATAACTAAACCTCACAACCTTGTAATCCGAGCATTGCACGAGGGGTATATGAAATCTTAACTTAAAGCCGCAACCTCAAGGCCTGAATCCTAAACTCACAGAACAAACGAAACTCTCATTCGGGCCGGGCTGCCGCAGGCACTGATCGCAGCATTGAGAGTGATGATGTCGATCGGAACCTTCCCCAGAGCGATTGTAGGATACAGGGATAGGAGTGCGGGATTCAGGAAACAGTGAACTAGGCACTGGGCAGATAGATGTTCTGCTGCAGATCATCCAGAGACTCCAATATCCCGTACCTGAGCAATTCCTTCACTAGGACAGAGATATCTGAAGATACTGTAGCCTGTAGGGATAAAGGGATCATGTTGCCAATGATGCCGACCCGACTACGATCCGCTTTCTAGGGGTTCTGGGATCAAAGCGGCGATGCTTTCCCTCTGAACCTCGATCGGATCCCCCGCTGTCCTCCATGCAGAGCGGTGGACTTCCGAGATGCAGAGCGGTGGACTTCCGAAATCCACAGCTCCTTACCCTAAACCCTAAACCCTCAACCGAGCCACGGTTTAGGGTTTAGGGTTTATAGAGTAAAACCGTAAGCCCCTCAGCCCACAAGGCTTGAAAAGCCTTAGCCTCTCGAAGCCGCAAGCCCGAAAGCCCAGCCGCAAAGGCCCTGAGCCCTTTGCCCTTGTGGGAGGATCCCTACCCATAGGCTCCATAGTAGTTCCTTTTTGGGGTTCATATTTCAAAAACCTATAAGATCATCCCCAAAATAGAACTACCTTGGGGCCTATGGGTACAGTAATTACCACATAACCCGCCTGCCGCCGCAGCGCGTCGGCTAGGAGCTGGAGCGCTTGTGGCCACCGACCGGCCTGTGGCGGTTAAGGGGACTTGGCAGGCACAGGGCCAGGAATGCTTAACTTCGGATTATAGCCACTTGATCCTTTGAGTAGGGTTTTGACTCTGACGGGCATTCAAGATTGAGCGTGTATGAACTGGAGGGTTAGGGTTTGAGGGGATTTCGTCTTCAGTTTAAGGTTTGAGGGCTTTGCGGCTTGGGGACGGGCGTTGATTCGTGCACCTACCTACACGCTCTCAGGGAGCAGTATATACGCCCAACCAACCCGTAATGTACATTCAAGTCCGGTAGGAGTCCGGCATGCGAGGCAAGCAGGGTTAAAACACAAAAACAGGTCACCAACACAGGACACAACTTCTGCGGGCTAGTTGCCCTGCATGGCTGATGCGAACTGAATCCAAATGGCCACGCCATGGGGTGAGTCTGCCTAGCCATCTCATAAAGGTGTTCGTGCCTGCGCTAACTCAGGACAACGAACACTACACGGAGACATAAGCATGATACTGCACAGGGATTGCTGTTCCACTTTAAACCTACACAAGGATTACTGTTCGAATACCCGGCCCTTCCATGCCTTCTCGCAAGCACTGATAGCTGAGTTGTAAGAGATCTCGTCAACTTGGGTCTGCCGCAGAAACATCTCCTCGCGCAGTTCTTCTTCCTAAGTACTCATAGGGAGCATTCTGGAGCGTACTTAAACTAACAATAATAATATAGAACTTTACACCCTATATAAACAGAAGTTATACAGGTGCGGAACAACTTGAAAGTGTTTAGGACCATGTGGACTCTTGATGAAGCTCTCCTTGTGTTGTTTGATTGGGTGCTTGTTAACCAAAAAAGTCCAATTTGAGGAACCTTCATTACCTGGTGCCACCATACTAAGGAAATCGCTGTGGAGCCGGATCACATAAACCTCGACCCTGTTTGAAACCTTACGGTGCGAACACCTCGGCACTCTGGGTTCTGAATCGAGCATTGGAGAATCCGCATGCAGATTCCGTTGCCTAACCTCCATACCCAAAGCCACAATCGCAAACATTCTACGCTCGGCCTAGGTCTGCCCCCAACTCTCACAAGGCCTGAACCGCATCACCAGACAAAAACAAGACAACCATAGAAACAATGAACTGAGCAAAGTGAACTTACCCAAAACCTCCGAAGTAGTTCCTTCTTGGGGTTACCTTATAGGATTCTAAATATGAACCCCAAAAAGGAACTACTATGGAGCCTATGGGTAGTCCTCCAGAAGGTGAACAGCTCTTTGCCACTGCTCGGATTTCTCACATGCACTGATGCTGGCGTTGTAGGCCACCACATTGGCCAGAACTGCCCTGGGTTCCAAGCATTCCCAGAGACTCCAATATCCCTTAATTAAGGATTATATACATTAAATTAAATTATAGTAGGGTCCCTAATATGATTTAAGGAATCTTCCTTAATTAAGGGATATTGGAGTCTCTGGGTTTTCGGATTCAGGGCTTTGACTCCAAAAATCCGAACATCCCCACGAACCAACCTGAAATCCTACCTATTGGTACTCTGTTACGTACGGGACAACTCACGCTGCCCCTGTTTGATGCATTCATACATCCATACATGCATACAACACATACATGTTGTCTTGTGTTCGGCCTGACATACCCCTTATTGGCCAAAATGCTTACGAAACCAAGAACCCTAAACCCTAAACGGATGACTCGGCTGCATTGCGGCTGCGGCCGTGCGACGCGTGCAGCGCTTCGCCAAGTAGAGCCAGGGCAGGGCGCCACTCAGCTGCCTAGGGCAAAGGGTTTGGCATGTGTGCAGCCTCGGTTTAGCCTGAAAGGGGCCTGTTTAGAGTCTTGGCGTGGATTCTCAATTGGCGCTTATGGGGTTTCTGGAGGGTTCGGTGATGTTTTAAGGGGTCAGTCCTTCGAATTGGATTTAGGTAATCATTATTATACAGTCCATTCCCAGAAGTGTTATCGGACAAAGTACTTGGGCTTCGGGTCTCAGGTGGTACATGAGCTGTAGGTGGGTGTTGGAAAGGGAAGGAGCTCAGTGTTCGCCTTTACGGTCATGGGCACGCAATGGCCGACACTTTGAGTGTCGCGGAATAACTGTGGCGGGTCTAGATTGAGGGAGCAGTGCGAGGCAAGTGGATGATGACGAAGTGGCTCGGTTCAGTTTTTGAGCTTGGGCTTCGTTCCTCCAGCTGTAACATGTCATGTATCACAAAACCCCTCACTCATTCGCGCTGTGCGATAAGGATGCTTAGGACCTACGATACTACAATAAGAGTCCATGTACCAATATAGTATATGCTTTGCCCCTAAAGTGCCTGACTAGGACCCGCTTTGAGGCCAACAGTACATATCATAAAAAAGCGTACCTGGGTCCATCATGGGCCCTTGAGCTAGCAGCTAGCTATTTGGACTGCTCTGACATCCGACAGCTACAATGTCACAAACAGGACCTGTATGATCTAATGGGTTTAGCTTCTCGGCATCGAGCCTCCCCAATATATGTTGTGCAAGGAACCTTCTCACAAGCGCTGATGGCGGTGCTCAAAGTAATCCTCAGAGCCGGGTCACAACATTCAGAAGCGGATTCGGATTTCGGAGTCTTTATACTATAGAGTTATGTTGCTATTGAACCCTAAGGAGTAGTAGTTCTCAACATCTAGCCCCATAGTTCCCAGGTTCACTGCGGAGCTTTTCAGGGCTTCACGTCACGAGAAGTGGAGTTCCCGAACGTCACGTGCAAGGCCTAATCATTGGACCGTGCAGGGTTTTGTGGGCTACTATACAATAGACAATAACGGCATCAGGCAACCCACTGGAATTCTTTGTACCCTGGGTCCGAAGTGCCCATTGATTGGGTACTTGGGTTTAGACTCGTTCGAGCTCATCAATAATGTAGGTCGTCAAATCAAGCACCCCCCCTCCCAACAAAAAGCAAGCTTTTCGTCGTGCGCGCATTCATACACATCTGAACATCACGCATTATCCGAAATGCTCAAGCTGCACAAATCCATCGCCTAAACACTAAAGCCTCCAGTCCGCACGTGTAACGAGGGGTTCATGTAAAGTTCAGGGCCTAGCCAAGTGGCACCGTGGGCTTCAGCCCTCTGACACCAACATCAAGCCACAGGAGAAGAGCCTTGCAACAAGGGTGGGACACACAAGTCATATTGTCAAGCACTTTTAAGGGCGGTCTTAAGCGCGTTTTAGGGCCGGGTGTATCCCGTTCACGAGATGATCCGGAGCTCTTCTCTGACTAAGTAGCGCTTTGGCACTCCCCGTCGCCTGCAATGCCGCCAAAAGCCCAAATCGATGAGCTTCCATATCCGTGGCTGAGCTCCACAGTATAAGGCCTGAAATCCAGCAGCGAAGACTGTAGTGCGCCGCACGCTCGATGGAACACGCTGGGGAGGACTTTCAAAGCGCCCGTTCCCGGAAATGGCGGGCCAGCGTCACCGACATAAGTATGCTGTCTGGGGCATGCATCTCTGAAACTGCCAGCGTCTCTAAAGCCGCCTTTACCCAGAGGCCCCAAAGTAGTTCCTTTTTGGGATTACCTAATAGGATTCTAAATGTGATCCCCAAACAGGAACTACTATGGAGCCTCTAGGTAAGCATGCTTGCGAAGATCCTAAAGGCAACTAAAACGCAGGCTGCAAGCTCCAGCATCTACCAGCGTCGCCCACCAAACGCCCGTCCGAGTCGGGTTTTAACTGCACGCCCACATTCGTCGTCGCTTATGCAGTTTAACGATTTCAGGGGGTGTTCAGGGCTTCGAGCTTTGGTGATCTTCAAGGCATCTGTAGGGGCCGATGAAGGTTTTGCAGGATCTTGGGCTTTCCTGAAAGACCCACAGAAAAAATGTCAATACCTAGCATAATTACATGTTTCAGACTTTGGGGGTCCCTTAAACCCTGTAAACCCTTGATCTCTAAACCCTAAACCCCAAATCTCTAAATCCCTACACCCCCAAACCCTAAAACCTAAACCCCAACTTTTGATGGGGCTCTTGCCTTTGATGGTCTGCCTGCCGGGACCTGCATTCTCTGAAGCTCGTGGAGTGCTTTAGGGTTTCGGGTGTAGGGTTTGGGCCTTGGGGTTTAGGGTTTGGGGCTTCGGGTTTGGCGGAATCTTGTGACTCTTGAAGGAAAACTAACTCCCTCCAAAAACGGAAACCCCGCACTCCCCTCTTTTATAAATCGTACTCAGCAGAACCCTTATATCATCCAGATACCACTTTCTGCGAAAAGCCTATCTGGTAGATCCCAGGACACTAAATACCAAAAGTTCCAAGTCTCTCACAGGTACAACTCTAAAAAGCCTTAACTCCTAATCTTAAACATGAACCCCAGTAGCTGCTGAAAGCCCTGACAGACACAACACCAGCGAATCTCTGGACACTTCAATGGTCGAAATCCAAACGCCAAACCCTCCAAGCCTAAACCCTAAACCCTAAACCCTGTCCAAGCTCAAAACCTTGAGCTCCAAACCCCCCGAAAACTCGACCAACACCTACACAAAACCTACGTGTAAACAGCCCTACAACACTCCTAAGAGGGTCCATATATACTGCTATTATGGAATTATAGGCTGCCAACACCATAACAGGCATGGTCTTTCAAAGGATCTCATTCCATAATGGTAGTATAGATGGACCCTCTGGGACTCCACAAAAACTCTGTAAGACCTCGCTTCATGTCCCATATCTTAGCCCCAGCGCCCAGTACCTGCTGCCAGGCTGTGGCCGACTCGCAGACACTGATGGCAGAGTTGAGGGAGATCCTGGGGGCAAGGATATGGAACCTTAAAGCTTAGCGGGGGGTTAGGGGTTTGGGGTTTAACGCTTAAGGGTTTGAGGACATTGCGTAGATTTCTGAGTGAGTCTTTACCTGACGGGTGTGCAAGGTGTGACGTTTATATATAGAGCTGGGTTCAATGTCGAAGCTTTATATGGGATTCGGGTGTAGGCTTTGAGGTTTAGGGCTTTGGATCGGGTTCAGAGTTTAGGGTTGGATATTGAGTTTAATGATAGGGTTTCGTAATATTGTACTACAGAGCCCTCGAAGAATGTTGAAAATCGCACTTCGTTTCAGGAAACAAGCCGTAAACAAAAAAAAGGAACACAAAGGTGCCCTACAAGGTGCCCTTGAAGTAAAGCAACTCAGAGACCCAAAGCCAGCTCTTAAAGAACCCTTAAAGGTACCCTTAAGAGGGATCTGGATTACTTTGGACTGCGGGTTTTAGGTCACACTTGAGGCCAAGAATCGCGTCGGGCTGCTTGCCGGCATCCTCCAGGTTTAGGGTTCAGGGTTTAGCGGTTTAAGTTAACTTAATATCGCCATCGGGCTGTATCACTGTTGGGGGTTCATTGGGTCTTCAATTGGTCTTGGATTGGCCTTCAACCGTTTAGGGTTTAGTTTCGGGTTTGGTGTTTAGGCAGGATGGTGGGGTTTGGGCATCCGGGGTGTTGGGGTTTAGACGCTTAGGCTTCAGTGCTTGAGGTTCATCTAGTTCTTACAGTAACAAGGGTTCTCTCAGGCTTCAGGGCCCATGTAGGCTTCTTAGACGACCTCCGCAATTTGCTCCCGAGAAAATTGATTCTGCCCGCTGCCGAAGGGTCCATCTCACGACTGACCCCAGCAAGAATGCTGGCTGAAGCTGTGCTCATTTCGGCGCGATCCTCATGTCGTCCCAGCATGCGTGCAGGGATTCTGCTTCAGCGAAGAAGCGAAGCTTGCTGTTGTATGCCAGCACATGCAGCGCTTTGAAGGGCAGTGCATCCTGGTCCGGAACCTGAGTTCATAGGAGCTCACCACGCACGGCGAACTGAGTGGCAGTTCACGACTCCGTTTTCCGTGTATAAGCTCGTGAACGGGTAGGTGGCTTGTCGGGTCCAGGTAACTGTCAGGGTGCATCTTCGTGGTTAAACCTTGTGGTCTTAAGTTTCGACACTGGGCTCGGTAAGCTTCGACCTGCATTTTTGCAGTTGATATGTATCGGGGGTCGTTCTAGGCTTGGTTTAGGACCCCTAAACCCTAAACCCTATAACCCCAAACCCTTAAACCAAGTTTAGGAGTGAGGGCCGTTACGGTTGGGGGATCACGGGTTGGCTTCTGGGGTGAAGAGCTGGTTAAGACATGCTTCTACAGGCCTTCGGGTTGACGGTTTCGGGCTTGGTTTGAGGATGTAGAGACCTACCCACAGACACTGTTGTATATGGGAGTTTCCGAGAATAGGGAACCTGTTATATAGTACCCTGAATGGTAGGATCCTTATTACAAGGATCCCAAAACAAGGTACCCCCCTAATTTTCGGATACTCCCCATATAGTCACCTTAAACCTGAAAACCTACACTCGTAAACCCTAAACCCTACAGCCCGATCCTAAACTGGCAAGCCCTAAACCGTAGTCGCTTGCCTAACCTCTAAATCTTGACTCTGATCACGTAATTCGTAAACCCCAGCGCCAAATGGCTAATAACACCCTGGATCCTAATTAGAAACCCTACAAGCCTCAAACCCAAACCTTCATGAACACCGTAAAGCTCCGAACCTTAAAATTGAATGTCCTATACACCCCTTGTACATTGGTCAGCCAAACACAATAACTCAACAGCCTCAAACCCGCCAAACCAAACCCTAAGCCAGCTACCCTAAGCTGTAAAAAACCAGAAACACTAATGCTACAACCCCAACATCAAACCCCACACCCTAAGTCCCAAACTGCACCCGAGAAACTATTTCTTCAACCCTAAAGCTAAACCCAAAAAACATATTTCCTAAACCCTCACCCCCTCACCCCAGACCCAAGGGCGGCCGCTCCTCCATGCCTTGCAGCACAGCCAGGGCTTTCTGCCACTGTTTGGGCTCCTCCAGAGCCTGGTGACCGAGGATTGAAATCATCACCTAAAGGCTTTAAGGGTTTAGGGTTTAGGGTTTAGGCTTTAAGGGTTTGCAATTTCGTTTTTAGTTGGGCTCTTAGGGTTCATAGGTAGTGGCCATACAAGTCGTCGTCGTAGTAGTGGTGGCAATTAGAAGGAGAAGAAGAAGTAGACGTGGAAGTAGTGGTGGTGGTAGAAGGAGCAGTTGTGCCTCTTGCTACCTTCTCCTCCTCCTCCTCCTCCTCCTACAGCACTACACTGTACGACTACTACGGCTACTACGGCGCCTACCACTACCCACAAGCACTCTAGATCCTCATCCCGGGGCCCTCAAGATGTCTGAATCCCATGCAGACTCGTCTAACAGCCTTGTAGTGAACCCGACTAGGCGACAGAGCCCTGGCGAGCAGGCCCTAAAGCCTAAACCCACGGAAGGTTGGCATTTGCCAAGCATTTGGAAGCAGAGTTCGCTGCGACCGCGAGCTCTTTGATACCGAGCTGCACAGATTGTGGCGTTGTAGGAGATGATGTCGGGAGTGACATGATGCTCCTGGCACGGGACAAAATGCAACAACCAAGCCCAAACGTCCAAAACCATGAAGCTACGCTGATTTCCAAGCTTTCGCACCTACCCAGGGGCTCCGAAGTAGTTCCTTTTTGGGCTTACCTTATAGGATTCTAAATATGAACCCCAAAAATTAACTACTATGGAGCCTATGGGTAAGCCCTGAATTCAATTCCGGTGAATGTTCACATGTTCTGCGACGCTCGATCTCCGAAAGCACCGAACATGAAACCCGAAATCCTAAGTTTCCCTTACTAACCCAATATTACCAAGATTAATACTAATATTAATAGTATGACGAATACTAATACTAATACATGGAGCAAGACACCCTGCAAAGACCTCAACGAGCGGTGTCAGGTTCAGGCTTCAAACATCTCGCGCAGCATATGTTTCCCGAAAGCTCTAAGTTCAAGCAACCTGTCAAGCCACGACAAGTGCCCGATACCATTCGACAGCATCCCACGCATGACCTCACAAAAGGCTTAAATACTTGCCCAGTTTTTCCGCACGTCTCACGGAAGGTTGAATACCCCAATATCCGTTTCGGAACAGCGTCTAACCAGACTCCTGGAGGCACTCAAGACTCGAAGCCCTAAACCAAAAGCCAAAACCCTGAACCTCAAACCCTAACCCCAAACACTCCTTCGACGTAGCCAACAAGCTGACTGCTTCCACCCAAGCAGAGCCTGCGCTGCAAGCAGCCTACACCCAACACCCTAAATCTGAAACCCAAAACCCCTAAACCCTAAGCTTAAACCCTGAACCCCGAAACTCTTCTTATGAGCTGTTTGCCAGGGTTCTACAATGTGTTTAAAGGTGTTTTGTTGTTACGGGTAGTTGCCTTGAGCCGAACCGATACCCGGACTGGCTTGATCGTTCAGGGCTTGGGGTCTTGTTTAGGGTTTGCCTCTTAGGGAGCTCAGGGTTCATGAAAATCTTGAAAGTCTAGAGCTAAGGGGACTGAAAGCAGTAGTACATGTATGCAGCTAGCTATAGCTGCGACATCATAGTTCCAGGCGCTTCTCTTACTATCTGACTTGCTGTGTCACCTGAGTCTGCGAATTTGTGCTATGGGCCGGCCCCATGCTCGCACTGAGATAGGAGTTTCCGAAACTAGTAACTAGGGGACCCTAAAAAAGTACCCTAAATAGTAGGACCCTGATTATAAGGACCCCCCTAATTTTCGGAAACTCCCAGATCAGCCTTTTCTCCTGGGCACCACTGCATCCCATATCAAAAGCCCGGCACCAGCTTGAATGCGACACTCTTCTGGTTTACGGCGGGATGTTGGAAGATGAGCTCGATCCCACAGCCGGCTATAGCTGTCTGGTTCTTAGCAGGGAATGGGGGAATGAATTATGGGACTATCATTGGGGACACTTTAGGGTCTACTATGGGGATTCCCTACTAAGAACCAGACAGATCAGTGGGCTTCAAAGCAGTGGACCCGTCGTGCGCGAGATATGAGACTTTCGATGAACAAGATCCTATTGTACAGCCGTGATTTCGGAGACTGATAGATTCTCTCCATCTAGCAGCAATATGGGGGCCTAACTAACTACCAATACTATTTTGGGTGTTCCTTGTAACTGTGAATAACCTTGCCCGCAGCACCTTGTTGTAAATATTCAGGCAGATAGATTATGTGATTGTTGCTGGGCGCTCGAGTTTGGTGGAATCCTCAGCTCACCTTAGCCTCTAGCCTCATGCGACTTGGACGACGGATTTTGCGGTACTTGTCCAGTATTACAGGGACCCAGGGAACTAAAGGTTAACCTTTGGGGGTTACATCGGGGAAATAATACCCGAATAAGGCTGAAGACCTACGGTACTCTACTACCAGTATCAGGACCGTCCTTCAACAGCTCAATCCCTACCAGGAAATCCTACGCCCTGATTCAACTACTCTCAAGCCCAACGCCAGCCATCAGCCGCATCTGCCTCTCTGGCAGGCACTGATGGTTGCGTTGTAAATGATCACCTCAGCACATTTCGCTAGAGCTCAGGATTGAAAGGCTTAGGGGTAGAGTGCCGGGTGCTGGCGTGAGGCAAAGCCACGCCGATGGCAAAATCAACAACGGCAAACCCTCGACGCCGAAACCCTGAACCCTCAAGTCCCAAATCCTTCAACCGTTGATACAAGGGCTTTAAAGGCTAGAATAGGGTTTTGGGACCCCCATAGTAACTCCTAAACCGTGAAGCCAAAGATCAAGCTTGAGGGTTCACCAAGAAGGCAGCTCTATAGTCCTGCCTTTCTGTACATGTGCTGCAAGCTGTGGCGTCTCATACCCGTATGGGTTTTAGAATCGAATAGTCATATGCCCAACTAAAACCACCGACAGCTTCTAGTACCGTAGGACCAAGTACCCGCTTCTAAGCACCATGCCATGACACTATTGAGGGGGGGGGGTTCATACTTCAGGAGTATTGAGGGGGGGGGTCTATTCCAAGACTATTGAGGGGGGGGGGACTCGTACTCTTGGGGAGGGGGGGGGTCTCTTTGGGAATGGTTGTTGTAGTATTTTGTCGGGTGAGGAAGAAGGAGCAGGAGAAGGAGTAGTAGTAGTAGTAGTAGTAGTAGTAGTAGCAGTAGCAGTAGCAGTAGCAGTAGCAGTAGTAGTAGTAGTAGTAGTAGTAGTAGTAGTAGTAGTAGTAGTAGTAGTAGTCTGGAATTGGTTGTTGTAGTACACGGCTGTTCTGTTTTCGTGCATTTGCGACTGCAGCTCAATCCCGAACCCATGAAGGTGTAAGCATGATGTTTACATATACATGTATGCATGCACATACATGTGTCCATTTATAGGTGCATATCTCTGGATAGATAAGGATACTACGCCGGAGCCTCATTTGAGCATTTCGGGGGGGGGTCTATTCCAAGACTATTGAGGGGGGGGGGACTCGTACTCTTGGGGAGGGGGGGGTCTCTTTGGGAATGGTTGTAGTATTTTGTCGGGTGAGGAAGAAGGAGCAGGAGCAGGAGAAGGAGTAGTAGTAGTAGTAGTAGTAGTAGTAGTAGTAGTAGCAGTAGCAGTAGCAGTAGCAGTAGCAGTAGTAGTAGTAGTAGTAGTAGTAGTATTAGTAGTAGTAGTAGTCGAAACAAGGGGGATTTGAGCCTAAGACAAGCGGGGGGGTTGGGGGGGGCGCAGCCCCCCCCATTTGCAAGCCTTCCATCGTCATGATAAACTGTACTTGCTTGCTTTAGCCCCCTAATGCGTTTGCATGTGGCTCTGTCCTTCTTGTGTTTGGGCGAACACACTCCTACAACACTGTTGTTGTCCTTCTTCGAACTTGACCCCCTCCTCCATATTGGAATATAACCCCCCCTCCATACTGCTATCTCTCCAACAGCCTTTTCGCATAAACGAAAGCAGAATATCTAATCCAGAGGGTCAATATATACCACAATTGCGGAAGTAGGTCCCAAAGGACCATGCCTACTACCGTTTCCGGGGCCCTAATTCCACCTAAACCCTAAGCTCTGACCCCGAAAAGCCCTAAAATCCGAATACCTGACGACAACCCCAAACAAAATCTCCATGTCCCGATCAGCGGCAAACTAAGCTGGACCCTTATAGGGTCCAAGTACCTAATTATCATGCACTCTCCACATTTAAAACTACTATCCTAAACCCAAGTAGCTGATTATTGGGTCCTTTGCACCCTGAGGATTCAGCGTCAACCTCAGCTTCGGATTCAGCGTCTATGTCAGCTTTATCAAAAGTTTGCCTATACAGAATTAAGCAATACACTTATATAGTAAAGATGTAGTACATTAATCGTGCAATTTGACGGTTGGTTGGGATTTACAATCAACGGTCAGAGCCCAGGCGCTATTGTGTCGCCTTGGGGCTGCACGCAGGTATTGGGGTTGGGGAAATGTGCACGATTGATGCCAAGCAGCGTCATTCGAGACTCGCTTTTCGTCCTTACACGGATCATGGAATAAAATATCTGATGAAAGCGATTTCCCTTTATGAAACTCCCTCCAGAAGAGCCAGTTATGAGGATCAGAGATACCCTAAACCCTAAACCCCTAAACCCTAAACCCCTAAACCAGAGATTGCCATGGGTCTCAAGTTTGCCCCGCCTCAGCGGGCTGCTAGGCTTCGCACTAAGCTGTGGTCAGGATATCAGACCCTAAGGATCTAAGGACTCTTAGATTAAGGCCTTTGGGCCCAAAGACCATACTATACTAGGATACCCAGTAACCTAAGAATAAAAAGGCGTCTCTTTTTGGTATTGGGTAACTTTATAAGGAACCTAGGACTACAAAAAAGGAATAAGGGTACTACTGGGCATCCTAGCAAGGCTTTTGGGCTATTTTGATCCCTAGGGAGACAGGTTTCACGGGGACGGTCGAAAGCTTCAGCCGTGGACAAGTACTCACGGGGTTTATTCAGCTCCAAGGCTTCGACCCAAGAGAGGATGAAGGAGGGCTTAGGGTTGAGGGGTTTAGGGGTTTAGGGGTTTAGGGATTTAGGGGTTTAGGGATTTAGGGTTTAGGGGTTTAGGGTTTAGGGTTTAGTGTCTCTAGGAATGTCGCAACATACCCGAAACGTGTAACTATTCGTGGACTGAAGACATGAGGCATCTTGGCACAAGTCTGGTGGTCTCGGCGCAAGTTACGGGGGAGACCCAAGGGTGGGGCCAAGTTGAGAAATGTTTATGAACGTATCATCACACCCCAGCTGAAACCGACAAGATGAAAACCCTGACCTGACTGCGGTCCAAATCCCCGTGGTCCTTCCAAGTTTCAGGTCAAAGGCATCACACAAGCCCTAACAAATACCCTCAGGGTCCATGTACCCCAATGCTGCTCCGTAGTTTGTACTTACGCTCCAAAGTGCCTATACCATCCGGGTACATGGATCCTTAGGGCTAGTTAAGATTTAGAAAGTCAGCCATTAACGAAACATCTCTGTGGAACACCCTTTCACTAAATTGCGCCCTGGACCCACAACGAAAACATGTCAGGTGCAGTTATAATCCTCTCAACCCTCAACCCTAAACCCCCTACTGTAAGCCCTAAACCCGAATTGGTGCTTTGCAGGCTCTTGAGGAAAGGCCAGCTTGATGCTCGCGGGATCAACTGCTCAGTGTCGAAATACACGTAGTAGAGAGTATAGTATAGGGTCTAGGGTTTAGGGTATATATAGGGTATAGAGGAGTATCGTTTGGGCTAGGGTAGAGTCTAGCCTAAATCCAGACTGCTATGTAAATGCAGCCGCTGCTCCAGATCTTGAAGGAGGCCCAGGGCACTTTCCCAGGCACCGCCTCTGGCGCAAGCGCTGACCTCGTGAATGAGGTTGAGGGTTCGGGGTACCAGCCTGAGGATGTACAGGGAACTCCAGAAAGTTGGAATATGCTTTCAGGGTAGGATACCTTATAATTTACCATAAAGGGTTTAGGATAATCATATTCCAACTTTCTGGCTTTTACTATATGGGAGTTTACGAAAATAGGGGACCCTAATATAGTACCCTAAATAGTAGGATCCTTACTATAGGGACCCCAAAATAAGGTACCCCCAATTTTCGGAAACTCCCATATTGCAAAACCTTCTATGCTACTTCTGCAGAAGGCGCCCTGAACCCGCAGGCCTCGCAAACTTGGTCCACAAGACCCCCAGACCTTCCAAAACCCCTTAATTAAGGAATATACCTTAATTTTATAGTAGGATCCTTAATATGATTTAAGGTCTATTCCTTAATTAAGGGATTTTGGAAGGTCTGGGCCCTTGAAGCACCCCAGCAACATGCTATTGGTAATGCTCCGCTGAAAGTCTGCAACATCTACGGAGCTGTCTTTAGATTTATTTGATAGTGGGGGATCTAAACCCGATCGGCCCAACAGATCACACCGCTAAAACACACGATCAACAACAGTGCCAGCGACAAACAAAACGGCAAACAGGCAAGGGGCCGTAATACTTAGAATAGGGTTTTGGTGCCCATTAAACTGTAGTTATAATAAGGAACCCCCAAAATAGTACAGGTAATGATTAAGGCCCCTATATAACATGCTTGAAGGCTATGAGGCTTCAAGGGTTCCGCATGCACCCTAAACCCGAAACCGCAAACCCCTATTATTCCCCTAAACCTGAACATTCAAGCCCTAAGGGTCCATGTACCCAAATAGTACATGCTTCGGCATTACTGTAAACTAGTCCCTATATAGGTACTTTGGGGCCAAAGTATATACTTGGGTACATGGGCCCTTAGGGTAAGCCCTGGAGCCCTAAACCCGAAACGCTGAAACCCTAAGACACAAGTGATGGAGCCTGATATCACTCTGAAGATTCCTTGGTTTAAAGCTTAGGGTTGCCTCCGGGGCAAAACCCTACCGCTTTACGGAATTCTATATAGTAACCATAATAAGGACCCTAGCAAGGTGGGTGTTTCGGCACACAGGGGCTTCCTTCGACAGATCATCGGGCATTCGAGGAACCCTTTCCCCGGAAGAACCCCGCTAAAGTGTTACTAGGTATCTGCGTATTCGGGGGGTATTTGGTAATTACACGCCTAAAGCCTTCATTGCAAAGAAAAACACTGTAAAACCTCTAGATGCACTGCAAAAAACAGAATGCTACAAAAAGACCCTTCCCGAAACCCTAGACCCTAAGCCCTAAACCCCTAACCCGACGCGAAGGTACTGCGGCGCCGTAAAGCACGGCGTCCGGCTGCACTGAGCCAACTTCGAGGCCTTCACAGAACGGGGCGATTTGGGTCTATACCCAGCGAATCTTGGGTACTGTTATGGGGGATACTTCCTCACTCAAAATAGTAACTAGTTCGTAATAGAAACCCTACATTCTGCTGTTTAGGTACTTTGGACCCTTTTGGATAGGGATTAGGATTGAGGGGTTGTACTCGGTTTCATATGGGGGCTTGTTGCGGGTATTGGCAGAAAAGTGTAGCACCTTTGTGAGTTTTCATGTGGTTTGTTGAGCTTTGGGCTGAAGATTGTATTGTTTCATTCTAGATACAGCTTCAGGTTTCGATTAGACCTTGGGTGTCAGGGAATAAGGATATTTGAAGACATACCTGGAACTCCGAGACACTTGACAGACACTCTTTGGATAGTGTAGAAAGCAGTAGGATCAACTGCAAACCCAGGTACACCTTGATTTGTAGATTCTCCATGTTGGGATTAATGTAGCAACCTGAATAAGAAACCTTGGGCCGTGGTTAGGGTTCCTTATATTGCCTTATATGAATCCTATTATTTTGGGATATAGGCCCAGGGTTTCTTAAACAGGTTCCTACATAGCATAAGACGTTCCTGCTGAAGAACACTTTTCAGAGGCCTAGGGGGACGAGCAGCCTAGAAACTGGGTTGATCGCTGTTCATGCGGATAAACCAAGAACAGAAAAGCCCCAGACCTTTCAGCAGTAGAAAGCCTGCGTTTAGGGTTTGGGGGTATAGTTATTGTATGGTTTAGGGTTCCCTAAACCCTAAACTGCCCTAAACCCTCAATTCGTAGGGTTCCTTGGCATCCTCAGTTTCCTAATGTCTTCTCTAACCTGTGAGACCCTCGGATGAAGAGGGATGATATTCCAGCTTCAATATGATGGCCTTGATCATTGAAACAGGGTTTTCGGGGTTTCCGATAGTCCTTTCATAATCAAGAGCCGTAGTTTAGAGTATCGGAACTTCATGTCATCAGGCTTTTGTTTGAGAGCGAGACTTGGGTTTGAGGCCTCGCAAAGAGTGCGCACATCATGAGGTTTTTCGAGAAAAGCCTAGTAAAAACCTCGTTTGTCCAGAAAAACATGGTAAAAGCCTGTTTTTTTCAGGAAAAACCTGGTAGAAAAGCTAAACTTTAAACCCTGGACTTCTTTACCCTGGACCCCAGTGCCTAAGGCGTCAGGGGTTTCAAGGTTGAAGGTTGGGGTTTCGGGTTTAGGGCTTGGCGATTAGGGGTTTAGGGTTTAGGGATTTGGGGTTTAGGGGTTTAGGGATTTGGGGCTTAGAGGTTTTGGGGTTTTAGGGATTGGTGGTTTAGGGGTTTAAGGATTTGGGGTTCAGGGTTTTTAGGGTTTAGGGGTTTAGGGTTTTCGGCTTTGTGCACCTTCCAGCAATGCCAGGGCATGCTGCCAGCGAGAAGCTCTCTCGCAGGCACCAATGGCTGCGCTATACCTGGCTGAAAAGAGTGCCCGGCGATGATCTGCACCCCTCACTCTCACCTACAGTTGTTGCGCCTGCTGCTAGGAATTACTACTAATGACTACGACACGACTACCACTAGGAACGACTTCTACCACTCGAAAGCCATTGCTGTCATCTTAAACCCTGAACAATCTACTTATTGTCCCCGGCATGCTCCCGTAGACAAACTGTAGATTTTGTAGAAACTGAACCTCGATTATGACATGAGGTAAATTTCCAGCTGTCACAGCTAAGGCATGAAAACAGCATCAAACAATTAATGTAGTAGGGTCTTGGGGCCAAAGCGGCAGCAAACAAAGAATTTGTCCTTAGAGCCTTGACGCCAGGGATTTTGGCTTACATGTCGTGTATCCGAAGGGAACCAAAGGTGAAAGTCAGGGATTACATATATATATATATATATATGTATATACATATATATATATGTATATATATATATATATATATATATATATATATGCTCACCCCCCCCGGTGACAGACCACGGGTCTAAAAAACACCGTGCACAACGATATTCTGTGAAGCAAAACCGTTACATGAGGTATATAGTATAGCACCAGACGTGCGGCACATGAGTTACGTAATAGTCTTGTGGTAGTATCGGTATTAGTGCGAGTATTATTATTAATATTAGTACTATTGTTTGCTGTAAGTATACGTATCAATATTGCCAACTATAAATTAGTGTTAGTGCTCATGTTCGTGTTAGAGTTCGCGCTAGTGCCAGTGTCAATGTCAGTAACCCTGAGGCTCCGAGTCCCCTTATGTTAAGAACTCAGGCCATGTTTTGCTGAGCGTGGATTTGTTCTTGATTTGTTGCCCAGGGAGGTATTGGCTTATAAGGCTTGCTGAGGGTGGCTTTGAAGTGCATATACAGTCATGTGAATCATGTGAAAACACACCTGTCATCACAAGCACTGCCATCATCTTGACATTTGCAGCTTTCACATGTAGGGATGAAGCCACATCTCATGAAATTCACTGCATACAGTTTTTTGCAATGCTTCGGGCATCGTTGCTGTTTAAGAAGCGGCACGCCAACACCAAGCAAGGTGCGACCCCCCGCTGCACAGTTGACTGCGTGCTGCAGCTGATGCACCATGCTGTGTGGTCATGATATCGATTGCTGCAGCTTTGAAGCTTCGACAAGGGGCAGGTGATACATGCAGGCATGTACCGGCCAGTATCTTGCATGTGTCAAACTTCTGCAATATTTCCGACAGCAGCCATGGCACTTGTCCAGCGTGAGTTTACCCAGCCCATGAAGTACTTCTTGACTGCTGCTGGGCTAATTTTAGGGGTCACGTGTAAATAGTGTTTACCTGTTCGAAACTATAATGTTCCCCCCAACCATCGCCCCAGGAAGCCGCCGAAAGGGTGGCCAATGGTATCCGCCCGTTCCTGGAAGCCAACCTGGAAAAGATTAAAGCTGACCCGGTACCTCGGCATAACCTGGTATGAAATAATGGCTTCTTTGAGTTTCTCTGCAGCAGAAGGGGGTAGTTTTGGCTTTGAGGCTCGGGGTTTGGTGCTGGAAGCTCCACCGCAGCACGGCAAAGCATGCCACAACAAGGTGGGGCAGTTTCATGCATTGATGTTTCGATTTCTGGGAAATGTCATGATTGTAGCCGGATTGAAATCATCAGGCCGAGGCGGCTATGATCCGCAACTTCCAACTGTTGAAGACTTTCGTTGCGCAGAGCATTGCTCCGGATATGGGCATTCCCAATTTGGGTGACTTCAAAGCTCCTCGATTGAAAACTGATTTCGGACTTGTGCCTGATCTGTGCATTCATGATCACAAGTCGTTTCGAACAGCTTTCCTGGGCAGATTGGCCTGGTGCACCTCTCGTGTGTGTATTCTTTGCACCCATCGGTGCGGACAAGGGGAGGCAAATCAACTGTGAAGGCCTTACTAAAAATATTACTACATGCACTGTTTTGTGAGGGTGTAATTATACTTACGATAGATAAACCTGCCGTTGGCAGGAGTGGTCCTACGAGGAAGGGGCCAAGTTACGCCAGTTGCTGGCTAACCTGCAGCGTGTGACACGACGCACCCTTCATGCTAAGTGCCATGAGCTGCATTTAACAAAATAAAGCTAGCAACATACAGCCGAAAACCCCCGTAGATCCCAGTACCCCATCTCAGGAAAACCAAGATCCTCATCTTGAAGCAGCTGTTTGCCGTGAAGATGGAATGGGCCACTATGGAATCTCAGATAGAACATAATAAAACTATAGCTTCTAGATGTGTAGCTAGTGCTAGCTACAGATCTCTAGAGGGAGGATCCGCAAGCCTGAAAGCCTCGAGCTAAATATCTTATGTGTAAGCCCCGTGAAAGCCTAGCTAAATTGAACTAGGATGTTAAAACCCTGATGTCCAACCTGCCAAAACCCCAACCCTATTCAGATCTAGATGCCAGGCCTTAGTTCTTTGCATAACTATTTACTTATGAGGGCATGGGAGTAGGCAGCTTGGGGTCGAATGCCCTGCTCGGACTGGGATTTTTTCGAGCACGAGCTTAGGAGTCGTTCCACAGCCGCCCGGACGAAGAGGAAGCGGAAAGCGACAATGGCGAGCCTGAGGCATTGGAGGATGAGGTTGAGGATGAGAGTGCTCCCAGTGAGGGAGCAGGCTCGGGGGAGGATGCAAGCCCGGATATCCGACCCCGCAATCTTGAAGCGGTAGCTGGGCTTTAAACTTTGTTGTAATTTTAGAAGACCGAACCCTAAATCCTTAACCCCTAAACCCTGTATGATCCTGTTGGTGTTGCAAGATGGCTGCTGTGATCTATGATCGAAAATGCTACCCCAACTAAGGACCTTGAGACTGCTATGCATCGGCTACTCTCATCTCAGTCACTAAGCAGAGATGGAACGGACCTGCCATCAGTCTTTTGACTTAAATATATGCGCATGATGATCATGTACCCATATATATACAGATTTGCATCTGCCCATACAATACTGAGGATGTGCCAAATCCTGTGGAGATTGCCGGGGCTCAGAAGCTCCCCGAGTCCGATTCAAATGATGAGTTTGCTGGCCCAGAGGCTCCCCAGTGATACCACGTACATCTTTGCACAACTGATTCCAAATGCTAAGCTAGCTAGCTATATACCCTCGTACTGTGGTGTTGGCTCCAAAGCTTCAGGATGTCCCGCATCCCACGGAGATTCTGGGGGAAAAGGAGCTCGCCGAGTTCGACTCCAGTGAGTTTGCTGGTCCGGAGGCCCCCAAACGATATGATGTAATGGTCTGAATCAAAATTGTAGCGCTTGATACTGCAATAATCATCCTTAGACTTTGTACTCCAAGGACGTCCCACATCCCACGGAGATTCTCGGGGAAGAGGAGCTCGAGTCGGAGGAGTTTGCCGGCCCGGAGGTGCCTATGATAACGATGATACATTTAATTATGGTCTTTCACATGTTGCTTGATCATGTTGTAATTCTAGATGCCTAGCTACTGTTCAGGATGTCCCACACCCCATGGAGATTGACGGGGAGGAGGTGCTAGCCGAACTGGCGGATGATGTGCCTAGACTATGTTCAAGAATTACTGTCGGCATCGTTGTTTCTTGCATCTGCTAAGTCTTTGTACTACTGAGGGTCAGATAGATCCCTTGGAGATCCTGCTGCGGGAGGAGATGTTGAAAGCCGAGTCTGTGGACCTCACCGGTCCAGCAGTGCCTAAGCGGTTCTGGTACCTGTCGTTTACAGTTTGAGCAGTATATCAGAAATATGGTTGTGGCTTGCTAGAGCAGACTGCCGAAGTTGAGGTGGGTGAATCTGCAACCCCGTCCTTGGAAGTTTCTGGGCTACATTATTTCAACACGACAGTGGCGATGCATTATTAGCGATCTCGAACTATAACTGCTGATTCCATAATGTGTGAGGCTGTGTCTGCGAAAACAGATCAAGCAGCTGGGACGGCCCGCGACCCTTGGACTGAATAAACCCGAAAATGTCGTCTTCCAATTCCCCGCAATGCACCCCCGGACCATGAACGATGCTCTTATCGAAACTTCCCAATGTCACATAAAGTGTAAGCCTAGACACTTTGGAGCCGAGGTGAATGCCAAGTCCAGGCCAGTGGGTCAGAAAGCAACCTGCCGGCAATAATTGATGCCATTCGCTACATGTACTTGTCGCTACAAGTATATCTTGCATTAGTTGCTTGCAACTCCCTGCCCCAAAGTGCTTCAAAAGAACTTGTAGATCATCACTCAATACATCATGTTATAATTATAATTAATGTTCAAATATGTCCGAAGAACCCCTGAAACCTTATGACAAGGAAGCCTCAAACCCTAAATCGCCAATGCACCGAGCCCTAAAACACCAAACTAGGATCGAAAGCCACTTGTGGCCCATGCCGAAGACCTACCTGAAGAACTTCGCACCCTGCTAGAAGAAGACACCCCAACTGTGGATGTCAACACAGTGTTGATCCGGCAGCGGGCAATCAAGAAAGACTTCAAGGAAGAGTGTGCTCGAAAGAAGGCCTGGGATTCTGAAAGCTAGATATAATGTGTGTTGTGCATTGGGATTGCTGTAATGAATATTCTCGCATTGCAGCAGGCAGGTTGCAAAGAAACGACGAAGCAGCAGCACCAGCAGCAGCAGAAAGGCTTGAAGCGCACATGCAGTGTGGCCGGCATGGATGCTCCGGAGGTTGTTACGCCTCCTGCCGGCAACAGAGCCGAGCCTGTAAGTGACCCTATGCAGAAGAGGCGTCGCATCTCGGCGAAGAGGTATGTGGAGGGTGCTAAGGAGCCAGCAAGGAGCAGCTCAACCGGAGGTGGTGAGGGCTTGTTGTCGGAGGCTGCTGTGCCGGATGCCAAGCAGAATGGCAAAGGCAAAGGCAGAGGCAAAGGCAGAGGCAAAGGCAGAGGCAAAGGCAGAGGTGGCAGGAAGGGCAGCTCAAAGGGAGGCGGTGAGGGGCTGCCGTCAGAGGCTGCTGTG